TCTCTCTCTCCCGCCCGCTTCCTCCCCCTTCCATCCCCAAGCCAGTCCCCCTGCACCCGTGCTCCAGCCGCGCCGCTAAGTTTTTTTTTTTTTTTCTGCTTGGTTCGGCCAAAAAGCCAGAGCCGGCCCTGGTGACAGTCAGACTAAAGCAGACACAGAAATGAGAACGCAACTTCATTTGGATACTGTATACGTTTTCAAATTTCTGTGTACTGGCCAGTAACCAGTAAAATGAATGAGTAAGTGTTGGAGCAGTTCCTGTACAATGGAAACCTAAAAAAAGTTTGAATTTTAAAATTGTTTTTCAAAGGGGAATTCAGGAGTTTTGTACACACAGACACGCTTCCGCTCATTAAGTCTGTGGACACGCTATCTTTCTTTGCATTCACACCTGACTCTTAGTTTTAGAGAAAGAGTTTGAGATAATGGGGGAACATGCAAATGGGGCATTTCAGACATGCAATGAGATGGAAGATAGTGAAGATGGCACTCAAAGAGTAGTTTGCAAGATAAGGAGGAGAATCAGGACAGCAAATATTGAAGGGAAAAGAGAATTCAAGCAGAATAAGAACAGAGAAGTGTCCTGTTGACTTAGCTAGAAGGCAGCAGTTAGGAATCAGGGCAGTTTTGTTGAAAAGAAGAGAATCCAGATTGTACGGTTCAAGGGAAGAGATAGGGGAAGAAATGTAGGTGGTAGGAGCAGAGAGCACATTTCAGTGCTTGGGCAAAGGGATCATTTGGAGATGAGATGTTAGAGAGAAAGATGGGATCAAGGGAATGTTTTCTTAATATACAAAAAACAAAATGTGTTTTTAGGCAAAACAAAAGTAGCTGGATGGGCAACTGGGCACGGAGACAGAAGAAGAGGAAAAAGCACACTCAACAATAACACCTATGGGCACTGATAGAGAAAAGTATTTATTCTGCAAAGCACTTAAACAAGTGCATGTGCTTAAGTCCCAATGAAGTCAACAGGACTTCAGCCATGTGCTTAAGCACTTTCCTGAATTGGGCCTAGTAACACTAATGCTACTTTTGACTTGGATAAATGCAAGGCATAAAGAATGTACAGATTAAGAGCCAGATTCTGCCACTGACAATTGCTCATGTTAACTGAGAGAAGAATTGATCTCTAAACATTTCTTTTTACATTTATATAAATGATCAACCATCAGGTGAAAGTTGAAGGCACACACAAATTTTAGATAATTCTGAATCTGTGTGTCTCATTCATTTGACTGGAGGATATTGGCACCAGTTTAATTTGCAGAGCAATGCCCTTTTATTATCCGTATATATTTATTACATATGTTAACTCAAAAAGCTCATCATTGAATTTAAACTATGATATGCATATATGAAATTAAAGTTTAGCTGTCAATTTATGCAAAATATATTGTTTATTGCCTTTCTTATTTGTATTGGTTTACATAACAAAAAAAGAAAAAACATGCCAGAAAGAGCTAACAAAGAATGGCTACCTATTTTGGATTGTTACCATTATCCTTTTATTATAATTATTCAAATTAACTTGTACATTTCTATCAGAAGTATCAGTGACAGCAGAAAGGGTGCAGCTGAAGAGAAAAAAATTAAAGGACAGCTTAATCCCTTCTTTTTCTCTAGCTGTACATTCAGAGGTGCAGTGGTGCTGGGTAATGATCTCTGCCAATAATAGCACAAAGGAGAGGTTGTCAGGGTAGCTCAGTATGTCTGCATCTGAAGCTTGTGGGCTGAAATCCCTACAGTACACTAAATTCTGGAATTTTGCTGGTGAACGGGGGTAGTGAGTTTCCACTCTCACAAACTGGGAAAGTACTGACTACAGATGTAGTTGTAACTATTGCCAGTTACCACCTTTGAAAAGTAAACCAACAGTTTCTGTACCCAAGGACAATACTCGTCAAGCTCAAGGTCAGATTCAGCTCAATCCCAATGCAAAACTCCAAAACAAAACATCAAATCAAGATTATTTATTTTACAACTATTTTATAGTATGTTGCACCATGCTACTTTCATTTATCATTTTTTACATAATGGCACAGGGCCCTAAAATTATGTCATTGTATAAAGTGTAATAAAATGTCTTAACCCACCATCATTTCCAGTTTCAGAACAAAAACCAGATATGTTCTGAGTTAGTTTTGCATGTTCTGAGCCTATAAAGAGGATAAGTTCCATTTTTGCAAGAGGCTTGGCTGGTTGACTTCCATACTAAAGCTAGGGGACTGAGGCAATGGGAGGGGAAAAACAAAGATTTATGAACAACATGATGCTACTAAAAAACATAAAACCCCACCATTGCCAACAAACGTAATATTATTACACCAGAAATAGACAGAAGAGTCAAAAGAAACAATCTTTTGGGAATGACTGCATGAATCTCTTAATTAAGCAATAATAAACTCTAGGGATGTTATAAAGCATAATGCTAAATGCTTTTCTGTCTCATGAGCCCTGAAAGTGAGATTAGCTATTAATACTCTCCCCTGCAGCTTGGAGCAATAGGTCAGTTTTGGGGGGGGGGGAGGGGAGGGGGAGATGTGACCATGTTCTATTTATCAACATGCAATGATCTTTGCCTCTAGCCTCCCTCATGTTCCTACCATTGCCACTAACATTTCTTGGTCCATTGTGCTTATAAAGCACCAATCACCATAGTATCTAGGCGGGCCGCAGGTTGCCCGCCACTGATACACACATGTATTTTCTGTGTTCTTCCGTCCACCTTTTTCCTGTCTCCCTTTCTCCTCACATCTCATCAAAACTACTCCTCTTCTGCTCTCCCAATTCCTAATATTTTCTCCTCTCCTATAACTTCAGTGTCATCTTCTTGCTCTCTGCCTTTGCCCTTACAACTCTTTTCCACTCTCATTTTCCTCGTCTTTGGAGATCTTTCTCAATACAGGCCAACCGTTCAGCCCGCACTCTCCTTCTCATGCATTCTCTCCTACTTTCATGCTTGCATCTTGGGTTTTATTTCCGTAAAACTGATTAGCACCATTCACATCCCCTGTTTTCTCCTTCCATTCTACTGTTCATTCCAACAGAAACAACCTGAGGCAGGGTCTCCCACTGGCCCTCCTTAGGCTGAATGAAACCTGGTTCTATACCTTCCACTCTGCATCTGTCACTGGTTTTTGCTTTGGAGGCCTTTCCTTCTCATATTGCTGCAACAGCGCTGTTCTCAAACTGAACCTCTCTCTCTTTTGCCTCACTCCTTTGCCTTTCTTAGGTCCATTCCAACTAGCGGTTTTCTCCCTGTCCTTCTGAGTGGCTTTTTACTATTTCCCCATCTTCCTATTCCCTAATTTCAGTGCCAGGCACTCAAATACCAAAGTGATGATTATTAGTCATGATGGACAAAATTATCTCTGGTGCCACTCTATTGAATCCAATTAAGTTACACCAGGGATGAATCTGGCCCCATCTGTTCTTTTGTTTTAAGGTTTCTTAAACTTTGTGGTAAAATAAGCTTCAGCAGATGAAAAAAAATAGGTTTATAAAGTTAACAGCATTTTCAAAAGAACTGTTATTCAGCTACCACAGGTTCATTTATGCTTTACAATGTTTCAAATGAGCCTGGGATATGCAAAGCCAACTTGTCTTACCTTTAACATGGCTTCTCCCATCCTCCAACAGCGGTACTACTATAGTGTTGTTCATATTTCCAGGTGATCTCACAGCTGTGTAGACTACAGGTACCGACTGCACTACCACTGGAATGCGGTGCACATGACTCACTTTGTTGGACTGTAAGTTCATGGGGCTTGAAGGTGGTACTGGATGGATTATGTGCAAAAACTGCTGGCCTCCAACACCAGATGCAGAGGCCACAAGAGGGCCTGGAGTTAATACTGATGGCACAGATGCCGCTGAAGATACTGATGTTATTACCGTAGGGGAGGAAGCTGGCCGACTAGAAGAAGAAGAAGTTGAAGTAGAAGAAGGAGAGGAGGCTGATGCTGTCATGGAAACCGGTGAAGATGAGGCTGCTATAGGGGATGACCTGGCTTTGTTTATTGACAAGTCCACTGGTTCCGTTTGTGTTTGGAAATGGTCTGTAGATAATGAATCCTCTGGGGGATCTGCCTTCATGTTATTTAACAACAAGGGTACAGCTTCCATGTCTGGATAGTTGTGGACGTTTGGAGACTGTGGGGGAAAAAAGGAACATGTTTATATTTTTAGTCACTGATATTAAATATTGGGCTAAGACAATTTAAACATTTAATTGATCATGCACATTTAACATGCAGTTCACACTTGGTTCTTAAGGCCACTGGAGATTTGTTTCTGTTCAATGTGGCAGCTCATGGCTGAAGGGGCAAAACATCAAGTATGAGGTGAAAAATATGCGTACTTCATCAGCAATATAAAATCCAACTAATATTTCCACATAATTGAATTGGAACAACATTTCTCTACTAGCTTACCATTAATAGTAGACAGTATTTGATTCCAGATTGCAACACTGCAAAATGACGTGTAAAAAGCAATTGATGGGCTTTTTCAGACCTCACTTAATCTAATAAAACTCTTTCATACAAAAATACAATTAGTAACCTTTCTGTGTATTTCTTCTACAACCAGGCGGCTCAGAATACAGCCTCAATCTCTAGAATGCTAGATATCTCAGAAAATCATTGCTGACGAGCTAATAAGAAATGTCCAAAATCCATTGTTTCAGACACACTAAGTATCATACAATAAATTAATCCTCTACTGAGTTTTTAGAATTAAACTATGTTAGATTTTTTGTTGAAGGCTTTTCCATTGCTATTTCGAGCAAAAAACAAAACAAAAACAAAAACAAAAAAACCCCAACAAATTCCAGGACACCAAGAAGATATAATGTGAAAGAAAAGTAGCAACATTTAAAATAAAGTAAAATAATAATATGAGTATAATAATAACAATCTGATCATAATGGGAAACCTTACACCTGAAATTCCTAAATATGAAAATATGAGATATTCTAAAAGCCCCTGTCCATTCCAGGAAAGGAATATTTGGGGAGTTTGATTGATCATGATCTGAACTGCATTCACCTTCATCTTCCCTCTCCCCGCCAAAAAGTTCAATGGATGAATGACAAAAATGTTTAGAGGCATTAGACTTCTGTATGTGGGAAGAGTGAAAAAATTGGGACTGTTTAGTTTAGATTGGAAATGAATAAAGAGACATGAGACAGGTACATAAAATGATGAATTAAACCAAATGGTATAGAGAAGGCCTTCTTTTTATCCTCTCTCTCTCTCTCTCTCTCTCAGGGGGACATCTAATTAAATTGAATGGCAACAAACTATAAATTGATTAAAAGAAATACTTTCTTTATACAATACATAATCAACCTGGGGAACTCATTAGTACAAGATGATCTTGACTTTACAAGTTTAGCAGAATTCTAAAGAAGGATTAGGCATTTATATTATACTATACAGTGAAGAGTGAGGTTGGTTTTGTGGCTAAAGTGGTGCATTGGGACTAAGCAAACCTGGGTTCCAGTTCTGGCTGTGACATATGCTTCTTGTTTGATTTTAACTTAGTCTCTCGGTGCCTAAGTTCTCCACCCATAAAATGGGGATAGCAACAAGTTTTTTTTTTGCCCTCCCCATGTCCCCTTCGCATAGTTAAAAATGGTAAGATCTTTGGGACAGGGATAGTCTCTCTCTATATGTATGTATATATGTACCTCTGTATAAATGTACACCCATGCCAGTTGGGGCCGCCGCATGCTATTGTAGTACAAATAATCAAAATAATAATTATATTATATAGCTAATGAAAACATGCACAGTTCAATAGATAAGATAATTCTCTACACACTTACAGGATAGAAAATACCATGTGTCAGGGCAAACACCAATCACTGACTAACGTGGTTATAAAGAAATATTCTTAATGAAAAAAATTATTCCATAATTGTCCACTATGTACTCTTGTACCTTCCTTTGAAACATCATGCACTAGCCATCATCATCTGAACTACATGGACCACTGGTCTGGGAACTTCTATGTTGATCTTGCGGCAAGGTGGTAAGTAGTTGTAAGAATGGGACAGAGGAAAATGTATCTTTTTGACCATATAATTTACCACCTTGAATCACAGACTCAGATTTTTAGGTCAGAAGGGACCATCATGATCATCTAGTCTGACCTCCTGTACATTGCAGGCCACAGAACCTCACCCATTCCTGACACTCTACACTTTTTAGCTCTTTTACTTTAAAAAAAATGAAAACTACATACAAGATATAGAGTAGATTGGTTGCTACCACAAATCATGTCACAGAATTTGGCAAGGTTAATCTCAGAACAGGGCTCTACATTTTATTGTGGTAGTTCTGACTAGTGTTTTGAAATAGCTGGCTTGCTGAGACCCCTGCCTATCATATTGACAAGTACTGTCTCATTGTACTACCTGTTATCTCTTGTCTTATACTTAGTCTGTAAATGCCTTTGGGCAAGTATTGTCTTTTTTGTTCAGTGTTTATACAGGGCCTTGCACTAATGGGGTCCTAGTTCCTGTCTTTGTCTTCTAGTGCTACGGTAATACAAATAAGTAACAATAGTAACAACAATAATGTCCATACAACTGCATTTGAAAACTTAACAAACCTCACAAGAATTTCCAAAAACAGAAATGAAAACCCTCAAAAATCAAGAGGGTTTAACCATGTCTGTACTTCAGTAAATTCAGGATCCCAATAATTCATTTTAGTATGCATTGTAAGAGACAGCAGGATGCATTTGAAGCCACTGATGCTTTGGAAATCTTGTACACGAAATAAAAATGGTACAGTCTCAAAAAGTACCCCCTATTTTGTTCGGGTGGATGGGAACACATAGCTCTGCACCACCACTCCCTGCTTGACACTGACCTACTCCAGAAAGAATCTGCCATTCTGTATGGATCTCTGTCTGCCATCGAGGACATTAATTGAGATTGCAAAAAGTTTAGATATCAGCTGTGTTTGAATTCAAATTCTAAACATTAGATCATCATTATTTTCTGGAAATGTACGGTATGAACAAACATTTTCCACTCAGAAGTATTATTCTAGCCTTAAAAAAGCAGGAACTCTTTGAATGAGAAAATGTATTTTTAAACAAGGGGGATAGCTGAATTCTCAGCATGTTATTTTTTGGCATCTTCCTAGAAATGTAATTAACTATTGCCTTCCTGTCACTGAACGATGAATTTTACAGTTACATTTAATCTACCCACTTTTTATTCAATAATGCAAACCAGAAGGGTCAGAATACCATTGCTAAAGGGATCAGAGGAAAATGTAGGTTCGGCTGTTCATTCAGCTTATGAAGAATGTCGAATGAAAAGCCAATGGGGCTCTGTTCCAGCCCTGCCTTTAGTCACCTTTATCACATGAACTGGTGATGTTGGGGCCTAGCACTGAAAAACTGTTTGACGTCTGGAAAAGCCTCTTCCCATACGGCTACACTGCCAAATTGCTGGGTGGATTTTTTTCACCTCCCATCAGGCATCCAGGGAGGTCTGGTTGGGGGGAGCGGGGAGTGTTCACTTAATTGTCACAACTTTGGCAGGTTCCAGTGAAGTTGGTGGGTTAAAAACGTCTGATGACAGATCACTGTAACTCAATGGGCTGCTTGGATATAACCCAGAGTACAACATGACATGGTGAGGGGTGTGCCTCTTTGTCTCACACAGCATTTGGCTCTACTTATCTCATAGCTCCAGCCTCCAGCGTGGGGGTTCCCGGGTATGCCTGATGGTGTAGAGAGGGTATTTCTTTCATACTCACCATTAGGTTTGTAGAGCCCGGGGCCTTGGTGCTCAGTTGAAATTGGCACTGGAACAGTCCAGCTGGGTAGTTTGAAGAGTGGGTCCCCATTGGTTAAGGGTTTTTACTAAAGTTACTGCCTCTGCATTTAACAATATTATAGCGTATGTCTTGTCTCCCTTTTAAAACTTGAAATCAATACTTCCTATAGTGCTCTGCTCATAAATTTGCCAGTAATAAATACTACCTGGATCTCTATATGTATCAGTCCACTGCTACTAGATTGGAAAAACAAAGTTAATCTGACACAGCATAAAAACAAAATAAACAAAAACACCCAAAAAGCAAAAACATTATTGTGCATTTCAAGACTATTGTATAAATATGCTGGATGACACCTCATACCATGCTTTTCAAGCCTACCTACACAGAAACAGAGTTCTACTTTGTCGCCTTCCTACTCTTTCCCTGAATGTTACCTTTCCTTGCCATACTTTAGTCTATATTCTAAAGTCCTCTCCCATGACTATTCCAGTCATGTCACAACTCCTTTGAATCTCTTCCTTGGTTCTTGTCTATATCTAAAACAGGGATCGGCAACCTTTGGCATGCGGCCTGCCAGGGTAAGTACCCTGGCAGGCCGGCCCGGTTTGTTTACCTGCCGCGTCCGCAGGTTCGGCCGATCGCGGCTCCCACTGGCTGCAATTCACTGTCCCAGGTCAATGGGGGCTGCGGGAAGTGGCGCGGGCCAATGGATGTGCTGGCCACCGCTTCCCGCCGCCCCCGTTGGCCGAACCTGCGAACGCAGGTAAACAAACCAGCCCGGCCCTCCAGGGTGCTTACCCTGGCGAGCTGCGTGCCAAAGGTTGCCGATCCCTGATCTAAACGATGTAGGGCTTATAATTTCTGCACTCCAAAGATACCTAACAGATCTGGGGAACCAGCAGAGGCTATAAACTCTGCAGGACCAGAGAGAATCTTGACTTCAGCAACCCTTCTCAGTGCTGTACAAGTTACAAGCTTCACAGGTTACTCAGCCCCAGTAAGACTGTCTACTCTTGTGGAGTTATTTTGCCCTGCCTGATGGAATTTATAAACTCAACAAAGAGCTGTCGGAATCTAAATTCCTCTTGCTCCCTGGCAGTGTTCTCACCAGGAGAAATACGTTGTTATAAGCTGCATCAAAAGTCCCTGATGAGGACAATGGAATAAACTAAGTTTAGAATTCATACAATAAACTGGCTTTGAGACAAGAAGTTAAAAAAAAAAAACAAGTCAGAAAACCTCCAATTGTTTGAATTATCACATATCAAACACCTTGTCTGATTATCATCAAACTGTCCCACGTTATTCTCCACTTGCAGTGGAATTTACACGAACAGTTTCAGATAA